ATATATCGAAAAGCACGAATCTTGCACGAAGGCGCAAGTTGGAATCTTTTTCTCTCTTACATAATTTCATCCTCTTCACTCTCTAAAATATTAAGATTTATGAAACACTCTATATATACTAGAATCTATTTAAAAAAATAGCGGTAACCTTAAAAATCGAACACATAGTTATTATTTATGTAGTCACATACATAGTAAACATTATTAATAAATAAAAAATTTATGTATTTATTTAAGATTATCCATTTTTAAAGTAAATTATAGTACTTATAGTATATATTAATAATACACATATGTATAAAATAATCATTAATAAACAATACCAGATAAATTAATAGCTTTTCAAAAACAATTCAAAATTAAATTATTATCTTTATACATAAATTTTTTAACGCTTAACTTACATTAAACTTAGGCTAATTCTACAATGTGCTTTTTGTTTCCTGTTTCTTGTTGTTTGTCTCTTGCCTTCTTGATCAAAAAGGCAAGAGACAAACGGAGATAAGCAGTAAGAAACAGGAAACAAATTAGCTTTATAGTTTGGAAAATCATATTTCAAATGTAACTACAAAAAATATAAGTTTAATATAATATAATATTAATAATGTGTTTATATGTAACTACATAACTAAATAAATATGAGAGATTTATTTGCTATTGCAATAATTTTCATTTGAGTGTATTGCACATGTAATGAAATCTTAAACATTTCACTTATATTAAAAAAAGGTTTTGCATCATCATTATCATTCAGAGAATAAGAATTTCGACCTATCAGAAATCATATACTGTGGAATAAACAGTGTGTATTCCATAGTACATGATTTCTGATAAGTTGAAAGTGATAGGTTGAAATTGTTCGCGTTGCTTGTACTTTTTGCACTTACCATCTTCGCTTTCTCTCTTTTTAACGCCGAATCCGACTCCAATCAGATACAGTTGAGTGAGCGATTGCGCATCCAGATCATATATGTAATACTGATCCAGATACAGGCGCGAATGCGCATCCAAATAAAGGCGCGTGGTGCGAACTATCAATATCACGATTCATGAAAAACAAAAGATAAAAAATAGCTTCGGAGGATGACTTGTAAGTAGACGCACTAATTTTTTATAATAAAAAATTTATATATTCAATCATTATATTAAAGTTATCACGATTTACTTTTAGATTAATGGACGATGCCACAGAAATTGAGCTAATGGCCCTGAGAGCTGAACTTGAACATCTTAAAAAACAGTTGGTTCAGCCCTCAGGGTCGCAGGCCGCGCCAGGTCCATCGGCGAAACAGCCGCCCGCGCCAGGATCAGCGGCGACGCAACCGCCCACGCCAGGTGCAGCAGCGACGCAGACATCCGCGCCAGATCCAACGGCGAAACAGCCGCCCGTGCCAGGATCAGCGGCGACGCAGCCACCCGCGCCAGGATCAGCGGCGACGCAGCCATCCGCGCCTGGATCAGCGACGACGCAGCCGCCCGCGCTAGGACCGGCGGCCCTACCAGAAAGACGTAAGTAGAAATTTCTTATCGATTAATAACGAAATATTTATTTTTATTTTTAATTAATATTAACTTTTTTCGAAATTAAAAATTTACATACATGTCATATTAAAATGATCATTTTCAAATACAGCCAGACGGTGGCAGAAAAGCCGCCATAGCAGAGGACATGGCGTGTTGAACAAGAAGGCCGCGGAGCCAGAGAACGACGAGGACGAGGACAAAGAGGACAAATAATTAAAAAATATTGGTAATTATGCACTATAGGGGAGCCAGCTCCGATGACCTTGACCTTGACATATGTTGTCAAGGTCATGATTCTGAGCAACTTTGCCTTAACAACTAGGCGGCGGTCTCTTATAGTTTCTGAGATATTTAGACCTAAAAGTCTAATTTCGTATAATACAATAATATGTCTTTCCGGTATATATCTAGAAAATCAAAAATGGGAAACACCTACTTTGTTTGTAAAGTACTGAATGTTGCGAAGTGTATGCGTGTATGATATTAAGTACTATT